GCATCGGGCTTTTGTTGCTTCCTCTTGAGGTAATCTCTTAAGTCTTCCTTTGTCCGCCCAGGAGCTCGGCTATCTCCTGATCTCAATCTTTTTAGTGCACTACTTTCGGCTTCGTGGTGAGTCCTCTTCGACTTTTCTCCATTAGTTGTGTCGAAGCACAGCGCCTGCCCCTGAACATGCCGATGTTCTTTGGGGTCTGCCTCATTTGCGTGATGCGTCCTCCATGATTCTTCTCTCCTTGACTCTCCTCGCCCGATCTCCCTGGAAGACCGGTGAGAGTGTTTTTTGCTTCTAGTGTGCTGAGGGGCTATTGGGATTGTCTTCTGCCCTCCCTTCTGGGCATTGGCCGCTGGAATCAGCGTGTCCTGCAGCGCGTATGATGGCTGCATGACATTGTTTTGCATCATGAAATTGACGACCGATTGTAGGTCTGCCAATTTGTTTGCCATCTCTTTTACCTCTTCGTCCATCCGCAGGCATCTATCCTTCCATACCTGGAGGTCATCCTCATTGTAGTACCCACTTCGATTTGGCTTCTTTGGTACGTCGCCATTCTGGCCGACGTCTTTCTTGTTGTGATTCTGGCCACGAGTTTCTGTGTTGCGGTTGTCTCCTTCGACGTCAAGGTCGATAAGTCTGCCACTTCCAGCAGGAGTGTCGTCCCCAATCTTTTCCTTCTGTCCGTCACTAGTCATCTATTCTTCTTTCGTTCCCACAGAAGGCGCCAAATTGTATGAGTGATTTTCTGATCACACTGCCAACTCAATAATCAGCTGGAGAGAACTGGCAGAATAGATAACACCTGGCTAACCTGCAACAGAAAGAGAAGATTCCGGCGGTGGTTCTTCCACCCGAGGGCACTCCGACGATCAAGTCAGTATATTTCTCAAAGATAATCAATAGTGTTAAACTCACTGTTCAGAATATAAATTGCGTATCTTAAACCCATCGGGGGTGCCTCTCTTTTATAGTTAACTCAATCCTTGTCCCACTAGAAGCCTAGCTTCAATGGACTCTTGCTCAGTGCTTATCCTGGACTCTCTAAGAGATAAAGATAAACTCCCTAAGAGTGTTATCCTTATCCACTCTAAAGTCTTTCCTCATTCTAGGACTCTTGTCCCTTATCCGCTTATCTCAGATTCTGATATCTTCGGAGATAACCTCGGCCCAGCCGAGATTACCTCGGCATCGCGACCAGGACACGTGGCACCTCGGCTGACACGTCGGCGTCCCCTTGGCTACGTGTTGGGGCTCAGAAAATATATCCCCACAGTTTCAAATAATGGTGGTAATGAATCCAATTCCAAATATATATATATATATATATATATATATTGCTCTGAAAATATAATTAAATTAAAATTAGGTTGAAAAAGTTAGGAATTGACACAAATCTGAACAAACACCCATGTCAAAAAAATAAAAATAAATAAAAAAATAAAAAATAAAAGAAGAAGAAGGGGGGAAATGATTGAGAATCTACCAACTTCATGGACAACTCCAGTCTTTTTGGTTGAATGCAATGGGTAACCTATAAGCAATTAACATCCAATGGAGGTTGTGCAAGTGTATTGGTGAGCAAGATAGTTCTGTGTGTTGTGAATGTAGAGGTGATATACAGATTGCATCATATCCATATTAAGATAGATTTTAATGAAAATTATTTAATGTCTATGTATATATATGAGTGCTATTATTTAATTATTTAATTACAGAGTAGAGAGAGAAACAATAGAAATGAGGAGAGAGAAACCTTGCTTGTTTCCACTTTTCAAAAAACATTTTTCAGAAAATTCTACTTTCTTATTTTTCGTATTTTTTTGTTTTTACTGAATTTTTTAAATATTTTTAGCAATTTTTTTACTTTTTAGACACACCTAACATAAATACACCTAAAAAATAAAAAAATAAAAAAATTGTAAAAAAAATCTTTTAAATATTCACTAAATACCAAAAATACAAAAAGAAAAGAAAAGAATTCAGTACATTTTTTGTATTTATTAATTTTTTAAAATATTTTTTCACAAATTTTTTAGTTTTTAAGTATATCTAAATAAGGTACATCTAAAAAAGTAAAAAAAAAATTAAAATTTAAAAAATATTCACTAAAAACAAAAAAACAAGAAAATCAAAAAAGTCAATTTTCAAAAAACTTAATCCAAAAAACTCAAACCAAACACATTGAATGATATTTTTGGTAAATTTAAAGATGTAAAAACGGTATTTTTGTCTTAAAAATTGACTTACTCTCTATAGAGGCGTGTGGGTCTCACAATCTGTTATATTGGACGGAAATGTTAACTATACGTTTTAATCCACAAATCACATGGGGATTATGTGGTGATTTTTAAATATCATGGGGTAATCCTAATCTACACCCGTCCCAAACCACAGGGGGTAAAGTGAAATTTGTCCAAATATTTTTTAAAAAAATATATTTTTACATCATTTTTTTTTTAAAAATGACTCGCCTTTAAAAATTTCGTGAGTCAATTTTCACTCACTACATTTTCAATACATTAAAATGTTTTCAAATAACTATCTTAACTCATTAAAAATCATTGAATCACAATTTCTCTTTTAAGTAATAAAATATTTTTGTTCAAGTATTAACCAAACGTCGAAAAACAAAAATAAAAATATTTCTTTTACGTAAAATTAATTCATAAAACAAATATTTATTTGGGTAAAATATTTTATTTCGAAACAAACCGCGCCGTAGTTGACATCATTTCTGTTAAAATTTGACCATACAATCAATAAGATCTGGTAAGATTAATTTTTCTAAAACACTTATCCTATGTTTGGTTGAGAGATTTGATGAAAGATTTGGAAAGGGAAATAGAAAAGATAGGTGAAGTGTGAAAAAAATATACTTACATTTTACATAGTTTCACACACTTTTTTCCTTTCTCTTTTTAAATTCCTTCCCAAATCTCTCAATCAAATACAGCATTAGAAATGAGAAATGGGAAATTGGTGAGTCGTGATGAATTCATCGAGATCTACGTTTATAAGATTCAAGTTAATACTTGATCCAGTTGGTGGTCAACGGAGAGGAGAGTTTAATATCAGCCAGCCAACAACTTCCAGAACAAATAACAATTAAAACACTATAATTCACGTATGCATAGCAGTTATATATCGATCCCCTTAAATCGATCGAATCAAATCGATTTGTCATATTTTAGATGGATCTATTATGACGAGTGGACGATTGTGGATTGATTTTTTCTAATCTGTCTAGTTTTGGATGGATGGCGGATTTGAAGTTCCTTTGACCGCAACAGAACCGTCAAACCTCGAGCACCTCTAGTAATTTGTAAGACTCTGTGTTTTCAATTTGTTTAGATATTCTATTTATGTTTTTAATTGAAAAAGAGTTTTCAACTTAAATATATTTTTTGAATTAAAAAAAATAAATGTATAATTTATCTATATTTTTTGTTTTAAATCTAACTCTAAAAATAATCAATAAAAAAGATGATATATGATGGTTGATTTTTGTTTTCAAAAGTAGATATAGATGTAACGCTACAACGTATATAATCTTTACTATTGCTTCATTAATGGTTTTTGTGGTTTGAATTGTTTTTATATTTTAAGAATCTCAGATTGTAATATTTTATGTAATACTTTATGTAGATGAGGCATGCTGTGATTGTAATATGTGAATAATGCATGTAATGATTGTAATATTCTAAAGTTTCAAATTTTTTTTCCTTGGATGAGGAATGCAATAATTGTAATACTTTATTAAGTTATTAATTGTAATACTTTTTTTTTTTCTTTGAGGAAATGCACAAGTTGAATTATGTTGAAAACTTATAAAATTTTAAACCGCCAAATTGATTCGCATCGATCCACCAATTCGCTCAATCTACATCCGTCGAATTGGTATACACATGCAAATTAATTTTTTCCAATCCTGCTAATCTAACAAACGAATAACAAATTAAAAGTTCCGTGACCGCAACACGCCCACGCCCACGCCCACGCCCACGCCCACGCCCACGCCCAATTCTATATATAGAAGTGTCTTGCCACCCCTTAGCAGAGCCGGCTTCGGCCCAAAGTGGCAGCTTTGGGCCCCAAAAATTAATGAAAAAAAAGGTTCTAATTTTTTTTTTAAACTATTCTGCTAGTTAAAAAAATAAAATAAAAATCATTTGAATTTAAAGGGTCCCAAGAAAGTTTGATAAAAATTAAAAACTGATAAATAGTTGATATAGTGAATTATTTAAAATTATTAGTTAATTATTTTTATTAAAAAAAATTAAAAAGTTAATCGATATCGTAAATTATTTAAAATTAAAGATGGTAGTGTCTCATATGTATGAATTGTATATAGAACTGGTTACTTATATTAGTTACAAGAAAATTAGTTTAAAATTGATTAATTTTTATTTCTGGTCAACTCTGTCCCAAGAAAATTTAAATGGATTATCAATTTTATTCATTGAAAAGTATTTAAAGTACTATTTGTCATAAACTAAATAAGTGCACTTATTTAAATAAGTGCATTTATTTAGATCACATCACATTTCTATTTTTCTGCACATCTTTTTGTAAAAAATCAAAAAATATACTTATTTAGATCATTCCAAAAAACACATCTTTTAGTTGATAAATTAGATTATACATTTTTTATTGGTAATTCTGCAATTAAAAATTGTTAAAATTGTGACATTTAAGTGACATTTTATTACATTTTGTCACTACTAAAAAAAGTACTTTTTGCGACCGTTACAAACCGTCGCAAATAATAAAAATACAGTCACAAAAGACTTTTTGCGACGGCCCATGCGACGGCAAATGGGGGTTGCGAATGTGGGGGTGGCAAATACTTTTTGCGACCGCAAAACAGCAGTCGCAAATTATTTGCGTCCGCCTAACCTACTTATAGCAACTGATGTTTTGCCGTCGCAAAAGAAGAATAAAAATTACCTACAATGTATTAGCGACCATCTTATTACCGTCGCAAATAGTTTTCAATGACATTTATAAATAGTGCATCGTTATGATTTATCATCTTTCCAAAAATCTGACTACATTGAACAAATTAAATCCAAGTAAATTCTATCAACAAGAAACTAAAAAATAAACTCAACCAAGTGAATTTCTAATTTTTTTTCTATCATTTTTTGTGCTTGAAACTCTTAATGTTCTTCAGAGCCATTCAACTGGGCTAGGAAAAAAAAAAAAGTGTCAAGCTTCTCCGTCACTATCTTTCCATGCATCATTATCTACTGGATCACTTGACTGATAAAATAACCACAGAAGTTGTCCCATTTCCAACTTCTCGGTCTTGAAGCTCATCCAAATGGATGCTTTATTCTTCCACCTTTGCAGCAGGATGCTCAACATATAACATCTTGAGTATTATAGCACCATTATTAGTAATTGTTACATCACCAATATCATCAACTAGCATCTGGAACACAAAATCGACAGATGAAGTGTCAAGCTTCATATATTTCATTTCATCAATTTGACCAAAAAAATAAAAACTTGAAAAATGTTACATTAATAACAAATTAATGGTCATGTGACGCCTAAAATTTCCATATTAGCGCAAGGGAATATACTCTTTACTAATATACCAAGTTACCCCACCAGCTAGTGAGATGGATAATAAAGCAAAAATGTTAGAAGATGTGTATTAGGCGATTAAATTATCCCATTACCATTATGGTGTAGTCTTAATCAATTGCACAAAAGATCTACCTTTACACTACACTGACCCAGGGAATAAAATGTTTTAAGACTTTCAAAAACTCATTACCAAATATTGAAATCGGTAATCTAATAGTAAAAGTTGAACTGAAATTAAAATTTTAAGGGGGAGATAGAGAGACAGAGAGAGTAATCCCACAAACTGTTAGAATCTGCAAATTTAAGTTAGAAATAAATAAAGAAAGAATGAACATTCAAGCATACAGCACATAAAATGGGAAAATCAGAGAAGAAGTACTTCACTCTTGAAAGAACAAAATCATGTGTTGGATCGTAAGGATGGTCCTTGGAAGGAATCTCCAAAATTGCTGGAATTGGATTGTTGTAGCTATCTACTAAAAACTTTATCATGTTTGCAACCTGAAAATGAACATTGTTGCATTAGACAATGTTTTATCCACAGAATCAAATGACAAATGAAAAATCACACCACCACAAAATCAATGTACTCATTCGTCTCTTACTACCAGACTATAATAATTATGGGACTTTGTGATTTATATGAATGTTGCAATAAAGGTTTAACTTGAAGTTTAGGAAGCATTAGTAAATTCCTTGAATGCTTCTTCAATTTGCTTAACAGTTGTTTCTAAGCCATAATAAAAGAACATTTATAAGCCAAAATAAGAATATCCAAAAATTCAATTGAATTAAAATTAACTCGGGGGAAAGGACAAATTCTAATTCCATAACTAAGGATACAGGGCAAGAACAAAAATTTGGAGCGGTATAACAGCATCTGAAACCCATGTAGTTTCAAGTTCTCTCTCTCTCTCTCTGAACAATTTTAAAGCAAATTTTGAATCTCCTTAGCTGCTCATTCTGTTGCAGAGAAACAAAATCTACAGCATAAATGACAAGAGTAACTAGTAGGCTTTAATGATTTTATCATAAAATTAAAGTATGTTGACCATCCAATCATTTATTGGAGATAGCCTTTCAATTCATCATATGCAAGTTATTTTAGTGAGAACTACTCCCAAAACAACTACCACAGGAAAAAAACATCAAAAGCCAGTCACATTATTGCTGACTGTATTCTTTCAGATAGCATGGAATGTTCACTCCAGAACTGGAAACAACGGAAGACAAACAATAGACTAAAAAAAAATTGCAACTTCCTTAATATGAAAGAGGTAATCACAGAAATCCAACACAATAATGCCTAAAACATTAAAATTTCACAACATTTGGAGCTCAAAAGCATACTTGAGTCCACAATTAGGTAATTTGTCTTTCTCCGCAAATCCACATTGCCTACTCCAGCCAGTAAAAATCCAGTTATTGTGTCCTACATCAGATAAATTTAACTCCAATCAGCTCCTGCAATATTGAGCATCACATTAGCAGTCATCTTAAAGACCTTCATAAATATACACCAAGATGTCAGGGACAAGCAAAAACATATCTGATGCTGTTTTAACAACCTACCAAGCCAAATGATCAGTACTGTTATCTGCAACTGCATTATCTATGTGGGAACTCAACGTAAGAAAAGACAGAATAAATCCACTGCACATTTATTGACTGTGAACTCACATAAGATGGGAAAATCAACGACCAAGTTCAGACCAAACAGTGAGAACAGATTCAGAGATGAAGAAATCAAAGTGCTTTCTACATATTAAAGTTAGTTGAAATGAATAAAGAGGTACACTAGCTTTGAGTCAATTTCAAAATCCACTCACAAAAAAGCCTTCAACACCTCCTTCAATGGAGTCACCACTAACAACACGAATTTTTGCTATGTTCACTCCCAAGTCATCAAATTCATCTCTTCTTATTTGTATTTGTTTATTTATTTATTTGTCCAATTTAATTATGAAGCCAATTTCTCTTCATGAAATGATAATTTTTTTTAGTGGGTATGGATTTCAGATACCAAAAATCAGTTTAAAATGTTAAATATAGGGATTCTGGAGTGAACATCATTCCTATATGAAATAAGAGATGTACAAAAAACTCACCACCGAGATATATGTTCCTCAAATCCAATCTTGCTCCTAGAGTGAGCATCATCGCTGCCTGGCCTCAAAACTTAGGCCCCAGCGCTCTTCTAGAAGATTCTAGAAGAGTGAACTTCACTGTCATGTCAGGGACTTCCATGGCTTGTCCACATGTCGGTGGAATTGCTGCTCTGATCCACTTAGCTCATCCAACATAGACCCCAGCAGCTATTAAATCTACAATCATGACAACAGCGAAAATCACAGACCATTCAGGAAGGCCAATAATGGATGGAGACAAACCTGCAGGAGTTTTCGCGATGGGAGCTGGACATGTAAACCCCAAGAGAGCCATCAATCCAGGACTGGTATATGATATCAGGCCAGATGAGCATATCACTCATCTGTGCACCCTGGGATACACAAAATCATAAATTTTCACAATTACTCATAGGAATGTGAGTTGCCATGAGACTTTGCTGGAGAATAGGGGTTTTAGTATCAATTATCCCTCGATTTCGGTGATGTTCATGCCCAGGAAGATGAGTAAGGTGATCAAAAGGCAATTGGCAAATGTAGGGAGTCCTAATTCCATTTACTCGGTCGAAGTAGTGGAACCTGAAGGAGTCAAAGTAAGAGTTAAACTACAAAGACTAATATTCAAATATACGAACCAGTAGTTGAGTTACAGAGTTTGGATTATTTCAAGGAAGAAAATAACAACAAAAATATGAGCTCTACTCAAGGGCATTTGATATGGGTGCACTCTGACAAAGGTCTTTCCAGGGTTAGAAGCCCTATTTCAGTGACATGGGTATCTAAGAAGCAACAGCAGTAACTATGGTGGCAACAATAATAGCAGTAGTAATGTCAACTTATAATACCTTCTGGTTTTGGACTTGGAAGGTTGAGACCAATGAAGATCTGATGATCATTTTATATTTTGAATTCTAGAAGAGGAATCTGGGGCACAATTTTATCATTCGATAAAGACAGAAGAATCCAATATAATTTAAGAATTCTAATATATGTTTCTTTAAGGCAAAAGGGGTCTCTAAATAAGCAGGTCAGCATAAATTCTCACTATCATTCTTTTTGTCCACTTATCACGATTTTTCCAGAGATAAAATATTCACAGAAATGAAGCCAAAGCAGAACATCAATCTGCCCAAGTATGAGCATTGACTTCAATAAGCTTCAGTTAAATTTAACAGCTGCGGTATCAAGAAAACTACAGAAATATCACATGCAAAAATTCTCTACGAAAAATAAACACATGCAGATATGCAAGAGAACTAACAATAAGAAAAGATTTCTCTACGGAAAATATATGTTCCTCAAATCCAAGCTTGCACCTGATCCAAGCTTGCGTTGGGGCCCAAGTTTTGACTTCTTGTTTTTTATACCAATTCCAAATCTATCACTTCACAGTGAAACATTTCAATTCGACAAACCACAAACATCAATATCTCCCTATTTATGACTATTATTTGTGACAGGAAGATGTTTGCAAGACAATAGATACACACATTCAAATATTCAATACTCTATGCATTTAGCTATATGAATCAAATTCAAATTTAAAAACAAGAGAGAAAGATATCAATACCAAGTAATTCATCATTTAATTAAAGATCTAAATTACTTCTGAGCTTCCTCAAACTAAATTGAAATTGAAAACTGCAGAGCAAGCTTGAAATCAAAATTAAACAGAGCAATATAGAAATCAACTACAACTAAAACATGTAACCAAGAAGAATTCAAAGTAGAACAACAAGAACCAAATTATGCTCTATTTGGTTGCTAAGAAAATGTAACATAGACACAGGAAAACAAATATATATATATATATATATATATATATTTTACCTTAATTGAGGTGAGCTTCAGTTTTCTAGCCAAACAAACATAAAAGCATAATACTAAAAGTTTGAAATTCGGTTAGTTCCTAAAATTTTCTCAGCATACAAACAAGAGGTTCAAAAACTAAATGAAATTTAGCAAACAATCTAGAAAAATGTTCAGATCAAGTTTTAAAACCAAAGCAAATCAAGATTTAATAATCTAAAAAAATAAAAATAAAAAATAAAGTGAATCTTCGAATCAAAAAGATGTTTCGAAATCAGAATCTGCACCGCATTGATAAAAATAAATTGAATTGGAAAAAATTCATGTTGTTACCATTAATGTTGATGTTCAAAATCGAACAAAGCTATGAGTCGAAGAGAATTTGGGAGTTGAAAGAAAGACACAGGGATTATAGAGACAAAGAGTTGGATTCATACATAGAAATTAGGCTTACCGATTATGAATCAATCCAAATCTGCATCAACAGCAGATCGAAATCTTCAAATCTTCATCAACAATCGATCAAAATCTTCATATCTTCATCAAAGTGGGAGTCGAGTGAGAGTGAGGAGAATTTGTGAGATTACCAGTATGATTTGTGAGGTTTTGAGAGTGAGAGAGAGAGAGAGAGAGAGAGAGAGAGAGAGAGAGAGAGAAAGGGGGGCAAGTTTTACACGATTTGGGGTTTTTTTTTTTTCTGTTCAGTTAAGAACACGAATGGGGGTTAAGCAAAACGAGAATGTTATGGAAAAAAATGATTTTTTGCGACGGTTAAATAATCAGTTGCAAAAAAATAGACGCAAAAACTCATGTTTCTAGTAGTGACACCCTACTCACTACTAACCAAGTGAGATGGTTTGCACAATCCTAGTAGGACTCTACTCTCCTTAGCAGAGCCTTCCTAGGAATCTTAAGCTCAATGAAGAATGTCTATTATCATAACACTTTGCTTTCCACCAATCAAATAAGATGGTTACCTCCTTTGTTTAGGTTGCTGCGGCCTAACCGAGCTATATTACCTCGGTCATACACTCAAGCAATGGCGCAGATAGCATTCGGCCAAACTATACCAAGCCTGGCATCCTTTCTCATCAATACCTTGGCTAACCACTAAGCCCACTTATTTAGGTAGCTCGGTTCAAAGTACCTCTACCTAGCTTTTATATAACATGGGACCGAGCTACGCGAAGCCCACACCTCGGTTGTAGCAACCCTCACCTTACCCTTGTCATACTTGCATGCATTCATGCATGATTTTGTCTTGTTATGTTATTTTGAAAGTTTTGCCTTGCCTTGTTTTGTTTAAGTGTTGCTTGCATGATTTTTGTTCTTTGCTCGGCGTTTAGCCGAGGTCATCTTGAGCATAGTTCACCTTTGAACCTTTGTGCTTAGAATGGTTTTGAAACCCTTTGGTTGATCCCACCTTCACCTCGGGCTTGTTACCGAGATGTTTTGCACTTAGTGATCCTTGTCCTTGGGCAGGTATGGCCTAGACCAAGGTGTGGCACACCCCGGCCAAGGTGTGGCACAGCTTAGTCAAGCGTCGTCCTCCCTTGCCGACGTCTTTGTTACCCTGTTGCCGAAACTTTGACTTCAGCCGATGTCATTACTTGCCGATGTGTCTTGCCTTAGCTTGTTGCATACGCTTTGTCTTGGACTTGTCTTATCAATCAATCACCTTTTGAGTTGAACCAACCCGATAATGCCACGTGTCCGAGTTGATTGTTAAGACAGCCGGCAAACCTGGAACCAAATCATTTTTGTCTCAAATCTTTGCCTTTAGAGAGAGAAGCTCTAGAGAGAAGGATGAGAAGTTCTTGAGTGAGAATAGATCTTCCAAGCTTGATCTTCGAGGTTTGAACCGTTGGATTCGAGTTTTGAGGTTAGAACCTTGATCTACTTTGGTTGTTGTTATTGATCATCTAGCTGCATTGCATGATCGATTCTGTTTTGCATGTCATGCATCGATTTGAAGTCGGTTTTGGAAGAGAAAAATGGTATTCATGTGTTCTTGAAGAAAAGTCTCGTTTTGATCCGAAAGTTTGGAACCAAAACCATGTTTTTGTGTTTGTTCTTGCATGACCTTCTTGTATGGGTACCCAGGTCCATGTTTTGAACTCATGGCATGAAATCTCTAGTTTTTGTAACAAGTTATGATCTTGCATTCACCTTCCTCATGTCACCATTTGAATTCTCAACCACCTTCACAATCTCAAAAGAAGTCAGAGCTGGAACTCCAATCTTCAACTGCTTTACTTCACTGGGCATTGCCCATCCTTTTGGGACAGCATTCACTAGCTTTCCTGGCCAATACACTGAATCAACAGCCCACAATTTCTTGCTATCACTACCACTAACACCGACAACACTCTTTGAGAATCCAAACTTGGATGACCAAAAATAGACCTCATTATAACTTTTTCCTATGACATTTATGATTTTGAAAATGGGGTGAGTGGTATTTTTAATAAAGCTATGTTATACTGTTTTGATAAATCTTGCTTTGCTTTGTTTTGACGAAAGTATTTGTTAAGCATGAATGAATAGCTCTGTTTTGATGTATCAAGTATAAGCTTTGTTTTGATGTCATTCTTGAAAAGTCCCTTGTACTGGAGGACTCTAAACTTTCGCAGTACCAAGTGTAAAAGTCCCTTGTGCTGGAGGACTCTAAACTTTCGCAGCACTAAGTATAAAGGATACGGTCCTTTCTTGGAAAGATTTCGCAGTACTAAGTATAAGAGGATACGGTCCTCTATTGGAAAGGCTATAGTGTTAAAACGGGCTACGGGCCTAAGTAACACAAGACCATCGTGTTAAAAGGAGCTACGGGCTTAAGTAACACAAATCCCTTGTGCTGGAGGACTATAAACTTTCGCAGTACCTTTGACTAATCGATTACGGATTGTGCAGTCCTTGTTTTGCCACTGACGGTTTACCGCGTGGATTTCTTTGTTCGGAAAGCTTGATTTGTGTTTTGCCGATGTCAGTAAGCATCCCTTGAGACTTGTAAGACTTAATAGATGAATACGGTTCATCGAAAGCTTGATTTGTGTTTTGCCGATGTCAGTAAGCATCCCTTGAGACTTGTAATTCTTGATAGATGAATACGGTTCATCCCTTGTTTTGATAAGGTTTTGATGTGTTTTGCTTTGAAAAGATCTCGGCTAATATTCGCATGGTTTTGGCATGTTTCGTTTTGAAAGACTTCGGCTATATTCATGCAAAAACCTTTATTATTAGTACCATTCATTGAGTATCCAAGCTCACCCTCTCCATATATATGTAGGTGATGAGCAGGACGTTGGCGACGCCTAGAATGTGTTTTTGAAAGCTTGTTTTGGAACCATGATTATGTCGGCTTTGTTTTGTATTCACGTCGGCGATGTCATTTCTTTTATGTCGGCGAATCTTGAAAATCATGCTTCTTGGCTTGTATTCACTGTATTTTGTATATGTCGGCTCGAGAAGCCTTTTGATCAAGATGTAATACGTATTTTGCTTTGTTGTATTCAAGTTGTAAAGATGTACGCCATTTCATTAGACTTATGCACTGCTCTTATGGACCACTTGTATTATGATTTATTGCTTCCGCATTTGTGAGCCCCTTTATCATACTCTGATTGTGTTAAACTTTTGAAAGTTGGCCTTCGGTAATTACGGATTACTGGCCATCACGGCACCAAACTACTAGGGGCGGTTTGGGGTCGTGACATTGGTTCAGAATACATAGACCGAGCTAATTGCCATTATTCCGGACCGAGCTCACAGAAGCAAGGTCCAGCCGAGAAGCCCTTTTCACTATGGCCCACAGATCGATCTATTACAATGTCTGGGCCTAGCTCGGCCCTAGTTCACATAAAATCTCCCTCTCAATTGCCTCTTAATTCCATCTGTAACGCATGTGGAAGAACCTAAATTTTTAGACAACTAATTAGTTTATTAATAATAATATTAAGTCAATCAATAGTGATTATTAAACTTGAAAATCCTAAGTGATTCGTGATTAGATCAAGATTAAAATATTCTAAATCCCAAGTATCCAAAACACACAATCTAAACCAACAAGCACTTACGAAAGTGATTTAGATTGTTTGTTTTTCGGAATAAACAATAAATCGACACAAACGATTTTTACGTAGAAAAAACCACAATTGAAGAACCTTCAATTGTAATAAAAAACCACGGGCGAAATGCCACTAATCAATCCACTACTGAAGTAAGAAAGATTACAAAGATAACACACAAATTACCCCACTCAGTCAATTTGTCTTCGAATCTTCTGTAACTCTTTCACCACGCCTTCGTCTCGGAATTGATCAATCCTGAAGTTGAATCCACAACTTCACTTGTCGAATGAACGACTACGTATAGAATCAAACTCCTTTTGATACTCTACGCTTGAATCTTTGGAATCCACCGAAGAGATCTCTCTCTTGAATTTTAAAGTAACCAACTCCTTGATGTATGTATCTTAGATCATGATTGAAGAACTCTTCTCAAAACATCAAGGAAAACTCACAAAAACCTCAGAATAAAACTTTAAACAAAACCCTAGGACTCTTGAATAATATCTAGAAAAAGTAATCCTAAAAAACAGCCTAAACAAGTATAAATAGGCAATCTGAGTCCGCGATCTCCGCTCGAGCGTCCAACATCCCGCTCGAGCGGCTTCAGCAAAATTTGCATGCGACAAAACAGAGTTCCGCTCGAGCGCTTGATGACCCGCTCGAGCGCGAAATCATACTTTCCAGTATTTTTACAGACCTGGCAAAATACTGAGGGACTACAATATCCGCTCGAGCGCCAATGGTCCCGCTCGAGCGGGAAGGACAAAAACACAGGAAAATTACAACTTGTTCAACACAAAGTTTTGTACCCGGATTTGACAATCAAGGGACCTAACAATCTCCCCCTTTGTCAATTCCCGGACAAAACCTTTCTAAACAAAAGTCCTTAAACACACGCACTAGACAAGATTAAAAATAAAGAGAAAAGACTCTAAACAACTCTATTATCAAACAATCTTACCCTGTGATCAATCAATCCATCCATCCAACTTCATCCAACATTCACCTGTGAAATAGCTAACAACATACCAGAAAAACAAAACTTGTGGAACTGTATAAGAATATACCAAAACAAACATAAAAAGAGAACCATGATACAGTATCCACCAACTACAATAACCAACCTATCCGAATATCAACAAAGTATCCAACATATCCAAACATGAACAAAATATCCATAGGAACAAAATATCCATCTAACAAAATATATCAAAACAATGTATACCACCAAGATCACCACTGTAACACCGATCTCCCCCTTTTTGACCGGGAATCAAGGAAACAATGAATTATGCACCAGGGGGAGGTGATGGCTGCTGAATCTAAAGTAAGGAAATGATGTGGGCCAGCTGAGAAGTAGTGTGGACGGCAGTCTGCTCCAACTGACCATGGCGACCATCAAACGCATCAAAGCGGGCATCCAGAAGGTCCAACCGCCGGGTCATAGCCTCCTCAAAATGCTGAAGCTGATCATAAAAAGCTTGAGGTGGAATAGCATCCTCCTCACCCCCGGCTGCGGCAGCATCAAACTCAGCCTCCTCAGCTAGGCCAGCAGTGGTACCTACAGAAGTA